TTCTCACTACTCACTACTCACTACTCACTACTCCCTACTCACTGCTCACACCAAACTACTCACTACTCACTACTCGCTACTCCCTACTCGCTACTCACTACTCCCTATTCACTACTCACTAGTGGCTCCTGACTACTCCCTCCTCACTACTCACTACTCACAACGCCCTACTCGCTACTCCCTACTCACTACTCGCAACTCCCTATTTGCTATTCCCTACTCGCTACTCGCTACTCGCTGCCCACAACTCACTACTCACTACTCTCTACTCACTGGGCACTACTCACTACTCACTACTCACTCCTCGCTCTTCGCTACTGTCTATTCCCTCATCCCTACTCCCTGCATGCTACTCACTATGCACAACTCACTACACACTACTCACTCCTCACTAATCACTACTCACAATTCCTTACTCACTACTTCCTTCCCACCACTCAACACCCACTACTCACTACTCACTAATCTCTACGCGCTACTCACTACTACCACTACCCATTACCAACTACTCACTACTCACCAATCACGACTCACTGCGCACTACCCACTATCAAATACCCACTACTCACCAATCGATACTCAAAACACTTTCTACTCTCTACTCACTACCCGAGAGGCTCCCTCCCCAGCCCCCTGTTCGGGGCAAAGGGGGGGAGGGCTGGGGGGTTCGACCCCCCCCCCCTTCCAGCGCCAAGGGGGGGAGGGGGGGGAGGGGGGGGGGTCTGGACCCCCCCCCCCTTCAAGGGAGGGGGGGGGGTCGAAAATCTCAATCTCCCCCCCCTTGAAGGGAGGGAGGGGGAGGGGGGGTTATGCGAGCACCCCCCCCACCTTTAGTGTATTCAGGGCTATCCACTGGCGCGCTTTCCTAATTTGGGTCTGCGGCGGCTACCCACTATGCTGCCCCCCCCCGCCCCCCCAGCAGCCCTCGAAAGTGGCGACCGTTTCGCAAATCGCAGTCCCCCCCGAGATGGCGAGGTATATTTGGGTCTGCGGCGGCTACCCACTATGTTGTCCCCCCAAGCAGCCCTCGAAAGTGGCGACCGTTTCGCAAACCGCAGCCCCCCCAGCGATGGCGAGGCCTACTTTGGGTCTGCGGCGGCTACCCACTATGCTCCCCTCCCCCCCGCCCCCGCAGCCTTCGAAAGTGGCGGCAGTTTCGCAAAGCGCAGCCCCCTAGGAGTGGCGAGGTCTACTTTGGGTCTGCGGCGGCTACCCACTATGCTGGGCCCCCAAGCAACCCTCGAAAATGACCACAGTTTCCCAAACCGCACCCCCCCAGGGATGGCGAGGTCTACTTTGGGTCTGCGGCGGCTACCCACTATGCTGCCCACCCCCCCAGCTGCCTCGAAAGTGACAACGCATTCACAGATCGCAGCCCCCCCCCACCCCCAGGGGTGGCGAGGTCAAATTTGGGTCTGCGGCGGCTACCCACTATGCTGCCCCCCCCCTCCCAGCAGCCCTCGAAAGTGGCGACCGTTTCTGAAATCGCAGCCGTCCAAGGATGGCGAGGTCTAATTCGGGTCTGCGGCGGCTACCCACTATGCTGTCCCCCACAGGCGAAAGTGGCGACAGTTTGGTAAACCGCAGCTCCTCAGGGATGGTGAGGTAAAATTTGGGCCTGCGGCTGCTACCCATTATGCTGCCCCCACCCACCACCCCCCGCAGCCTTCGAACGTGGCAACAATTTCGTAGTCCGGAGCCCCCCACGGATGGCGAGGTCTACTTTGGGTCTGCGGCGGCTACCCACTATGCTGTCCCCCCCCAGCGGGGCTCGAAAGTGGCGACCGTTTCTCAAATCGCAGCCGTCCAAGGATGGCGAGGTCTAATTCGGGTCTGCGGCGGCTACCCACTATGCTGTCCCCCCCAGCAGCCCTTAAAAGTGGCGGCCGTTTCGCAAATCGCAGCCCCCCAAGGATGGCGAGGTCTACGTTGGGCCTGCGGCGGCTACCCACTACGCTGTCCCCCCCAGCAGCCCTCAAAAGTGGCGACAGGTTCGCAGATCGCAAGTCCCCAGGCAAGATGCACACACAAGAGACACCACAAGCAAGATGCACACACAAGAGGTACGCACAAGACGGGAGGCGGGAGGCGGGAGGAGGAGGAGGAGGAGAAGACGCGACCGCAGTGCTCTATTCAAAACGAAGATAAGATCCAACCAAGGAGGGTTGTGAAAAAGAATTGACTCCACCACCCTCCCCCGGGGATATCGGTCCCCCCTGGGAGACTGTAACCTACATGCCATCGATATTTCCACACGAACGTATACCATCCCAACCAGACAGGTCTTTTGATCGCCCCCATCCCGCATGCATCCGTCAAATCATACTGTGCGCGCGCACTCGCTTATCTCAAAATTTATGAATGCAATAGTCGCTGGCCAAGAAAACTGGACTGCGTCCACATGCGCGCTTATGTCGGAATCAAATCAAGCACCCCAGTTCTGCTTTGACATAGTCATCAAAAAACCCTAGGTTTGTCCATCACACATCCTGCAGACTAGCTGCCCGCGCTCATTTGCGGACATCATCGGAAGATGTACGATTGTAGCAATCTCGTCCAGAATCCACATTCTCATTTCACTACGCGGCACATCCCCGTTGATCCTGCACGGACCAAGCACACGAGTCCTCATCACATAACACAATGTGGGCAACACGCGCGCATCGAAATCCTTCCAACACCGTTGGTGTTCGAACGACAGTTCTTCAAACATATATGGAGTTTGCAACACATTCGCTTGGTTTTTGCATTTTTGCGCGCGCACTTCCTCACCATCACCCTCATCAGCGCCACCGCATCACCTCCGTCATCGCCATCGTCAGTAGGCGCAATGGCTGCCATCATCAGTCAATCACCTTCAGGCGAACGTATGGGTCGTGGCTTCGAGAGGATCAAAGGGGACCAAATGGTATTCGTGTGTATCACGAGGGCCCGTGCAACGTCCCCTGAAGAATGTCCCAACGAATCGCGAGCTAGCCAACGCATCGCTCGCGAGCCCAAAAATATGATTCGCGCATCGGGACTACGACGAGAAATATTGAATACGATCGGCTACGACCTCAGCATCTTGGCGGCTGGACGCAGACCGTACATCTCAAGGTGCCGAAGGCCACCGCTCGAAGCCGGGTGCTCGGACCCAGGACCCCCCCTTGGCCAAGGCTGCTGGGCTCTGGGACCCGTCTGGCTACGGCTAGGGGGGGGGTCCGGGGCCCGTCCGGAAAAGGCTGCGGGGGCTCCAGGGCCCGGTCGGCTAAGAATGGGCACCAGCCAGAAGGCTTACAGGGGCTTGTGGGGCCCGCCCGGCGACGTCCGGCCCGGCCAAGGGGGCTCCGGGGCCCGTGCGGCCAACTCTGGGGGGCTCCCGGGCAAGGCCTGCTGCGCTTCCCTATGGGCCCGCCCGGCCACGGCTGGGGACTCTGTGGGGCCCGTCTGCCTGAGGCTGGGTGGTTCAAAAGGCACGACGGGCCAAGACCGGCCAAAGCCAGGGGGCTCCAGGGCCCGTCTGGCAGGGCCGCGGAGCTCTGGGGCCCGTCTGGAGAAGGCAGGGGGGGCTCTGGGGCCCGTCCGGCCATGCCCGCTAAACTCCCTCATGTCCTTGTGAACTCCCCCATGTTACTCCCAACTTCCTCGTGCCTTCCTCACGCCCTTCCCAGCTCCCTCATCTGCGCCCCAAGTTCCCATATGTCATTCCCAATTTCACCATGGCCTTCCTAGCTTCCTCACGACAGTCTCATATCCCGCATGTCAAATTCGCCGGCCCAACGGGCCAGAGGCGTGCTAAGATCTCCGGTAACTGCTCTACAATGTTTCTACTTCGCGCGCGCGGGGCGGCCCCTGGGGGTCCCCAGACGAAAAGTCCCCCGACCAGGTCCCGGCCGGTCCCCGGCAAGGTCCCCGGCAAGGTCCCCGGCAAGGTCCCCGCAAGGTCGGGCCAGAGATGCCGGAGCCCTGTTACAGGGCCCCAGGACGGGCCAAGAGGCCCCCAAGAAGCCTCCAAGACGGTCCAAGAGGGCCCCGAGACGGCCAAAGATCGCCCGAAGACGCCCAACAGGGCCCCAAGACAGCCCAAGAGGCCTCCAAGACGCCCCAAGGGCCTTCCAAGAGGCCTCCGAAGAGGGCCCCAAGAGGCCAAAATCGTTGATTTTCATTATTTTTTTCGCTGTTTTTTGCGTTCTGGCTTTTTCGGCTTCCGGACGCTCCAAGACGGCCCAAGAGGCCCCCAAGACCGCTCCAAGACGGCCCATGAGGCTCCCAAGACGGCCCCGGAACGGCCCAGGAGGGCCCCCAAGACGGCCCAAGTGCCGCCCAAGACGGACCAAGAGGCCCCAAGACGGGCCCAAGAGGGGCTCAAGAGGGGAACCGAGAACTGAAAAATCGAGCCCTCCGCCCCAGAAGGCGCCCAGGAGGCCCCAAAAAGGCCCCAAGAGGCCCCCAAGAGGCCCCCAAGACGCCCCAAGAGGCCCAAAAGAGGCCCAAAAGAGGCCCCAAGAGGCCCCAAAACGGCCCCCAAGAGGCCCCAAAACTCGGCTAGCCCACAACTGTGCGACAATATGGGCCGGCGGAATGAGCGAAGCGATTAAATAAATCTTACCTGCGTCCACTCAACTGTTGCCATGCGCAATCCTGTTTTCCCGTGTTCGCCAAACCTCCTTCGCCTGCTCGCCACTTTCCCGACGCCCGCGCAACCTGCTACACCCCGACAAGCAGTCCACCATTTTCGCAATCACAAGCCAGCTTCCCTCATGACCATCCAAACCTCGTTTGCGATTTTGGCCCTGACAAAGCTTAATAGGATACAGGATCCTTGAGTCCATGGAGGGCCGTAAGTGGCTTCCACGCATCTGCGCCATGGGACCCTTCAATCCATGGCACAGATGCACATGCAAGGCGCGTTCAGTCGGCTGGCGGGCTACAGTTTGCTTTTCAAGGTCACCACGCTGGAGCATTACCCATCTCGCCTTCCCCCTCGATCGCTTCCTGCGAGCGGCCGGCGGCGCAGCCTGCTCGTACCTCTGCCGAGCGGTCGAAATGGACTGCGCCTTGAACTCCACGTTGCCCTCCTCGGGCCGCGCGCGAGGCTCGTCGAGCACGTGTCCAGACAGGACGACGACTGGAAGGCATACCTGCTGCCCGCTGCCGACACTGATCCGCGGCAGAGGGCGCGCGGATTCGGCCCACGGTGTGGGCGACGCCTGCACTGAGGACAGCACAACCCACCCCTACCCCCACCCAGGGCACCCACCTCCGACCTGGTGGTCCAGGGTGCCCTGGGTGGGCGTGGGGGTGGGTTGTAAGAGCCGCGGGGCCCAAAAACACACCCCCACCCCCACCCAGGGCACCCTGGACCACCAGGTCGGAGGTGGGTGCCCTGGGGGGGGGTGGGGGTGGGTTGTGCTGTCCTCATGCACGCCCCCACTCGCCAACCCAACAGGAGGCCGCGGAGCTGGCGCCTCGGGACGCGCCCCTGACGCCCTCGGTCTGTGCTCCGCCCGCCGCCCCTCCTCTGGCAGCCCTCGTGCGGTACAGGGCCCGAGGCCTCTTCTTCATTTTTGGGTGCTGCCAGTGCCAGTGGTGCTCCTCCTCCTCCTCCTCCTCCTCCCTCCTCCTCCTCCTCCTCCTCCTCCTCCGGCAGGCGGCGAAGCCGCGGCCCCCCAACCCGCTGCTCCCGAGCCCCCTGGCAGCGGCGGGGCCGAGGAGGGCCGTCCTCCCGCAGCCTCTCCGCCTGCTCCAGCCGCGCCGCCGCCCCCGCCGCGCCGGCGCCGCCCGGGGCCTCCGCCGCCGGCGCCATCTCGGCGCCGGCGCCCGGGCCCGCGGGCAGCCGCGCGCAATGAGGAGGAGGAGGAGGAGGAGGAGGAGGAGGAGGAGGAGGAGGAGGAGGAGGAGGAGGAGGAGGAGGAGTGGCTGGAGGATCGCAGGTGGACGGAGGACCAGCGCTGCAGGATGTGGGGCGAGGGCGGGGTGCAGCAAGAGAGGCACCGGGCACGAAGAGTCGGGGGATGTCTGAGAGCCAGCGGCTCCAGATGATGGATGCATCGGGCGCCGTGGCCGCCCTGGAGAGCAGCAGCACTCCAGGAAGCTCCGTGGGCGCTTTGGGAACAATGTTTTCATATCCCAAGCCTGCCAGGAAAAGAGAGTGGGGAAGCGGGGGATCCTTCTTTTACCTGCTGCTCCTCCTCCTCCTCCTCCTCCTCCTCCTCCTCCTCCTCCTCCTCCTCCTCCTCATCATCATCATCATCAGTAAGATGAGGGAGCAAGCAAGGACTACTGTCGAAGATGAGGAAGAAGGCTGGCGCGCTGCCGCGGCGGTCGCTTAGCCGGCCCTCTCCGCCACGGTAATCGCGCGCTTGCCGCTTCGCGCTTCGCCTGCCGCCGCGGCGGCCGAGGCGGCCACGGCGGCACAGTCGCCGCCACCGCCTCATTAGCGGCTGCGGCGGCGTGCAGCCGCTGGACGTGGCACAAGGCGATGCGCGGGGCGAGGCGTCTGTGGCCGCGCGCTCGCGGTGGCCGGCGCAGGCGCTCGCTGGCGTTCCGGGGCAGCTCGACGCAGCTGGCGCGCCGGGACCGCCGCCCCGCTCGCCGACCCTGCAGAAGGACGCCGCGGCCATGGGCGGCGACGGGGCCCCCGCACAGGCCGTCGGAGGACGGCGCCGTGCCCCGCGGGCAGTGGAGCTCGGCTCGGGGCCCGGGCTGGGGCGCCCCCGCGCTGCGGGAGCGGCGGGGGAGGGCGGGGGGGGGGCGCGGCCCGCAGCGGGCCCGCGCGCCAGCCGCGCTCGAGATGGTGCGCTCGGTGCGCGGGTTCGCGTCCGCATCGGCGGGCAGGCGCGGGAGGCCGCGAGGACGTGCGCGGGGCCGCCCAGGGGAGCTCGGCGCAGGCCCTCGGGAGGGCGGGCGGGCCGGGGCGGGCCGGCGCGGCAGCGAAGGGCTCGTCCTGACCCGCGTCCGCGGGTGGCCCCCTTGCTCGCGGTCGCGCGCTCGGCCTCCCGCGCGCCGACGAGTCCGGCGACGGAGAATGCGTGGACCGTGGACCTCAGCTGCGGTGAACCGTGGTCATGCGTTGAATTACAAATTAGTTGTAAGCCCCTTGTGAATTACATGCATGTTTGTTGCAACGTCGTTGCGAATCGCGGAAGCGCGTGCAAGTCGCTGAACAGTTATAATCGTTGGCCCGCACCCATCCTGAGTTACCCCAAATTGCAACTCGCATGCGGCAATTGTTTTGCACAACGGAAAAGCGAACATGTTCAATTTCAAAATTGCTGTTTGCTCCATCTATATCTTATTCGGGTACAGATCGCAAACGCGAAGTCCGCGTTCGAGCGTTGTCCTCGGCATTCGTTTTGTTTCATAGCAGCACGATGCATCGAACTGCATTCAGCGGGTAATCGTTCTGCCGCGGTAACAGAAATCACGCATTGCGTGCGACATGTAAGATTGACCGTCGTACATTCACGCAGTACCTGCACTGACAAAACATGTCTGCAATAGTTTGCGCGTATAACGTTTCACGCTGCGCAGCGTTTGCAACAGGATTGCAGGCATGACGAAAACATAATGTCGCATGTGGCTATTCCTATCCCATAGCGTTTAACGACTTCGTCGGCACAAAGGCGTTTGAGGCTCGAAGTGTCTTCTCTTTTGTTGCAGTTACTGGACGCCGGCACACCGATTGCAGAGTTTCCACTAGCGAGAGATGCGCGACGCCATTAACAAGCGCATCGATACGCATCGCGATGGCAAGCTGGCACCGGTCACTGCGTGGAAAGACTGCATCGGTCGGCTCTTGGAGGGTCGCCCAATTTTGCCAAGAAGATGGTCGCCCAAGCGGGCGATATCATCTTCCACCCTCAGGACCGTTCGGGCCTCGGTGCGAGCGCCCACGACGTGCGCCGCGTGGGCGCGATGATGAAGCAGATTGGCACGGACCACGCAGAGCTCGAGAAGGCGGTGGCCTCCGAACGCATGCAAATGGATCCGATGAGGGCATCCCAGACCGGTCTCAGTCAAACAAGATCCGCCAGCAAGGGCACGTGAGCGCCGTTGGCAGGCAGTGGGCGGCGCTGTTCAGTCGGGACTGGCCACGCCACTCTGTTGTCCACAGCCGCGCGGGCAGGGTGATCCAAGCCTGCGCCGACATTGGCTGGCCCAGCGATGGGCGGCAAGATTGAAGGGGCCCCAGGACACACAAATAAATACACACAAAAAACAATATTCCCCATATTTTCCAATATTTTCTGGGTTTCTGTCTTCCCAACCACTTCCTATATTTTCCCATATTTTCTGGGGAATCGAGGATTAATTGTGTCTGTGTGTTTCTTTTCCTCCTGTAAGATGGGCGAAGGGGTGCCGTCGCAGGACTCGCGCGTTCGCCAAGCCCTCACAAAGGGTTCGACGTGGACAATCTTGCCGCGGCAGGCAGAGGCCGCGTGGCCGCGCCCCCCAGACTCGGCCCAGCACGTCCTGAATGCGAGCAACAGCGCTGCTGGTTTGATGCCCGAGCTCGAGGCTCACGCGAGCACTGCAGAGCTCACAAAGCTCATGCCCGAGGGTCCTTCATTCAGCGCTTGAGGCGGCGAAGATGAACCAGGCGCCGCGCCTGGCAGGCGGCGCAGAAACGATGCGCCCGCAATGGGCGCGGCGCTGGCGCGCGCGCGGCTGCGACGCGCGAACAGATGGCACCGCCCCCCCCCCCCGCCCACCCGCCCCGCCCCGCCCAACCCTGGCCTGCCTTCTCATTCTCACCCTGCCCCTCCGCCCCCCCATGCCCGCGCCCCCTTTCCGTTCGCCATCGTCTCTTATCCCCGTTCTCCGTCTCGCGCGCGTTTCGCGCGCGGCCGCGCGCGCGCCGGCGATGCGCAGCGACTGCAGGCGGGCGCCTTTCAGCATCGCAAGGAATACATGGATAAGATCGGCAAGCTCGCAGCGCACTGCGGTGGTGGGTCGGGAACACCTTCGGCGATGTTCATGGGTCGTTTTGGCAAGACGCACGGTGCCAAAAAGAGGCTCGGCCAAGATTTCGTCGCATCGACTGTTGATATCCACGTCTCGGACCTCCAGCCCCGCGCGTTTCTTCGCGCCGCGTGCGCTCCGGCAAAATTGGCGCCCGATGGGCAATCTGACGGCGCGGCAGAGCTGTCGGCTCCCAGGAAAAAAACGACAGCAAAGAGTGAGGAGCAAATCTTTGGAAGAGAAATCGATGGCCCTCGACAGGGGCCTCGCCAAATGCCATCGGCTCGCAGGCGCCCTTCGCAGCGCGGGGCGCATCGGCCTTGAGGGGCGCGACGGGTTGGTCGGGAAGTTCCCCACTAGAGCACCGTTGCATTCAATCGGGAAGGGCAGGCAGGGGCCAGAGGGGGCCGCGCGCGAGAGCCGGGGCAACACCATCGCGGACTTTGCGCCAGAGGCAACTTGCACGCGCGGCGGAGGCGCGGTGATTGACCCAGACACTTGGTGGAAGTCACAGCGGCCCCTCGAAGTCCAAGACGCCCCCTCGGCAGACGGCAGCGCGCGCGCGGCGAGGACATGGGCATCGGCCGCGCATGCGCCGCACTCACTCTGCGCGAAGCCCACTCTTTGATGAAACTTCCCAGACTTGAGATCGGGCGTGGGCTCGGAGACAGCAGTCATCTGCCCCGCGGTGACCTCTGCGGAGTTCCCTGGCGAAATCTGATGGAAACCCACCTGCGCCCCCCCCCTCCCTCCCCCCCTTCCCTCCCTCCCTTCCCCCTTCCATCCGTCCCTTCCCCCCCGCCTTTCCCTCCCCCTCTCCCTCCCTCCCCCAGCGTCTCCCCCTCCTCCCCCCTCCCCTCCCCTCCCCCCTCCCCTCTTCCATCCCCCCGGAAGGTAGCGCCATGGGTCTGCCTCACCGTCATCACCAAAACCCGCTGCTATCTGATATTAAAGCAGCAGTGAAAGCAGCCAGCCGGTAACAAGCCATCGACGCGTGTGCGTGAGAGCAAAACGTTAGCTACCCTGCCTGGCATCCACTCGTTCTCCCATCGCTTTGGCTTCAGTCCAAACTCATCAAGCCAAAAGGTGTGTGCCCACCATGGACGAGCCTCAC